CTAAGGCTTCCCTTCTTTAAGATTTTGACAAGGTAGCCCTTCTTCCAATCTGGAGGTACCTTTCCTTCCTTCCTTCCAAACCTTCTGCAGTAGTGGTGTGAGCATGTTCGCTGATGTCTTTTCGTCTTTTTTCAGTGCTTCTGGCGGAGTTCCATCCAGTCCTGCTGCCTTCCCGAATTTCAGCAGTTTTATGGCATCCAGAACTTCTGCTTTTGTCGGAGGTTCTGTGTTCACTGGTAGTTCTGCCATTGCTGGTGGTATTTCTGGACAAGTTGCAGGTGGTGGTGGTGGTTGATTCAAGAGCTTCTTGAAGTGATCAGCCCATTGTTTCCTTTGTTTCTCCTTTCACTCTTAAATAGGTTTAATAATAGCCATAAGTAATAAAGTGGAGTAATATAACTACGAGATAATATTGTTTAATACGAAGTAGTTTTCTGGTGAGGAATGACTTTTTACGGCCTTTGACAGCGTCGACAAGGAGGTAATTTGGAAACTGCTTCAATACTACGGAATACCGCAAACCTTCATCAGCCTCATTCAACAACCATATGAAGATGCCACATGCCAAGTAATTCAAAATGGGAAGTTCAGTGATGCCTTAGAAGTGAAGACAGAGTAAGACAAGGTTGCCTACTATCACCCATGATATTCCTGATTGTGGTCGACTAGACTGGATCATGCAGCAAACAGTGGGGAGCTGTGAGAAGAGGGGGATACGCTGGCTGGACTGCGGAAAAGAACCTAGACGATCTGGATTTCGCCGATGACTTGTGCCTGATGTCACACAAACTTGAAGATCTACAGGCAAAAACTAACAAGTTGGTAGAAGAGGCAGCGAAGACGGGACTTCAAGTGAATATAGAGAAGACAGAGGTGATGAAGATACCCAACCAACGCAACCACCAACAACAACAACAAACTCCAGTCACCATCAATGGGAGAAACTTAAAGGAAGTAGCCTCCTTCACATATCTAGGCAGCACTGTTTCAACTACAGGTGGCGGGACAGACGAGGACGTCAAAGTCAGAATCGGAAAAGCAAGACAGGCCTTCATTAGTCTGAAACCAGTGTGGATATCTTCTGTATTCAGCATGTGGAACAAGATCCGGATTTTCAACACCAACGTCAAGTCAGTGCTTTTGTATGGTTCAGAGACTTGGCGCGTCACGAAAGGGATTTCCAACAAACTACAGACATTCATCAACAACTGCCTACACTGTCTCGTTACTGAAGATAAGATGGCCAGAAAGAATAAGGAACAAGGAGCTCTGGGAACGAACCAACCAAGAACCTATCACCCAACAAATATGCAGAAGGAAGTGGAGATGGATTGGGCATACACTGAGAAGGCCGACTGGGGACACCACGCGCCAGGCCCTCGAGTGGAACCCCCGATGGGAAGCGACGAGTTCGACGTTGGAAGGTGACATGGAGGAGATCGCGCGAGAAGGAAATGAGAGCTTCTGGGCTGTCGTGGAGCCAGGTTCAAAAGATTTCAGAGAACAGAGTTCACTGGAGACGTGCTACTGAAGCCCAATGTTCCATTAGGAACCCAAGGGACTAATAATAAAATGACAATAATACTAAGGTTTTCTAACAGCCGATTCTTGTTGTTTCAGGGACCCCAGCTAGGCAGTCTACACCTCCCTAAAAGTCCCAGATCCACGGCTAGAGACTTTGTGGACTGGCGCCATGTCTTAGTCCGGCCACCCTGAGTCTTCCTTCTTCCAGCCTAACCCAACTTCTCTAAGCATTTCTTGTTTGAGTAGGCAATGGCTCAACATGCCCAACACATATACGACAGGCCATCTTAACCGCTGAAGGTTCATAACTTGCCTTTCTTGTCTAGTCCCCTTTTGCCTAACCTGGACATTATTCACACTGTGATTCCATCTTACGTGACCAATGCTACAAAAACACCTTTGGTCAGAAACCTGTAATCTTCTGATACGCTTATGTCTCACAGCTATATAACAGGACAGAACGAACTGGAGGGTGGTGAATTGGACCATTGACAGGAAGTCGGATATCTCACCTGCTCTAGAGATGACGCACGTTGGCAAATGCCAAACAAGGTTTCCGTATCCCAGCTGAGATTTCGTCAACAACCACCGCGTTCGGGCTGATGCAACTCCACAAGTAAGTAAAGTGGTCGACACATTCCATAACTTCACTGGGAGTATTTGCACCAGACCAGTCCTGAAGCATCATCTTACATTTGCCGGTACGAAACGCATGTTAAACATAGATTTCTGCTCAAGGAGTTGATAAAACCCTGAATTTTGCCAGTGTCTTCACTGAGCAGGATAATATCTGAGTACTCCAAGTCAATCAGATGAACTCCAAGGGACAGAACAACCTCTGTTATATCAGAGGCACTTATGTCCATTAACGCACCCAAAACGAAGTTAAACGGCAACAGTGACAGCGGACATCCATAGTCGATACTCCTGATAGTAGTCAATTAAGATGACAATTCCTCAAGAAGTCTAACATGGTTGCGTTAGTTCGATTAGAGAGCATTGATTAATGGTATATACCTGCTAGGTACTCCTTTCAGGGTAAAACACTTGCACAACACCTCATGGTCAACAGAGTCGAATGCCACCTTCATGTCACAAAATGTAGAAAGTGATAGTGTTTACGTCCCTTAACCTTTTGAAGGCGTAAAGATTTTATCAACGCACCCTCGTCCAGGTTTGAAACCTCCCTGGATTACTCTAATTTGCTGTCCTCGAGCTGTAGTTAGGCGTCGGATAACTATCGACCGTAGGACACGATGTCAGTTGACCTAATTCCCCAATGATTTCCCTAGGAAAACTTCTTTCCTTTCTTATAGACTAGAAAGATCAGTGAAGATCAGTCTGATGGGATTACCTTTGATTCCTATAGACCATATAGTGCTTCCAATATCTGTCTCATTCAGGGTTCGGGTTGGATGTTAGGCAACTGAAGCATTTCAGTAGGCCAGTTTGCTAGGCTGAATTATGAGGGTTGGTTCATACCAGAACAGAATGGAAAAATAAAGAATTTCTTCAAGATGCTTTGATCATTTTGCAACGTATCGTGTCTCTAGTGTAATAAAGGATAGTACCAACCATTAACTCAGTGGATTCTACAACCACGTGCACTCAAATTTTGTAGTATTAGCTGGAGATACATATGGAGCGTCTAGAAGCAAATGAATGTCATTCGAATGATGAGGTAAGTAATGCTAGTCATCTTATGACACTTCATGCAAATCAAAATCAGCCACAGTCAATGATATTTATGATGAGTTACCTTACGTCTTTCTTACGCCACTCAATTATGGACTCAAACAGAGCAAAAAGCAATCAGCGACCCATGACCCGGGTATATATGAGGCTTCTACTCCGAAAGGAATTGTCTAGACTTCTGTCATCTTTTATTATGTGTTAAGCTCGCTTTGCATTGTAGTAATAAACAAGATTATTATCCTAAACAGGTCAGCATTAGTACATTCGTCCCCTTTGGTTTTAAAAATGAACACCAGTTCTATTTAGATTCCCAACTATTTATTGATGCTTCAAATGGTGTAGACGTGCGTTGTATGAGCCTACAAGACATCATCGTTTCAAACAACATATAACGTGGAGTTTAAGCTTTGTTCAGGCTGTGATTTTTTCACATTGAGACCTGATATGGAAGTGACGAAAAAGTCCTAAACACATCACGTAGCTGTTTTTTTAATGATTCTGATATTCTTCATCCGCTTTTTACTAGCGTTTCCCCATTTTATTATACTGTTCCGAGCTGTGTATTTGTTAGTACCGATGTTGTACTGATTTTGATGCAAATATGGAAAAAATATGTTTATCTGAATTTGGTGTTTATCAAACTATTTGATAACTAAGAGATTTCTGGTTGCTGACATTAAATTCGATCAATTATTATTTTATAGTGCGTGCATATTGGTAATATGTAGACAGTTGTCCACAGGGGTAGTATACTTTTATGGAAGGCTTGAGATAATACGAGTATCATTATTATTATTCTTGTAATAGTGAGGTTATGTGCATATGTTATAGTATTCAATCAGTGTCAATCAGGATATTGGAGTAAAAATTTGGGAGACCTAAACATGATGACTGGTGTCGAAAAAGCCTCGGTTATCGCAGTGTATACATTAACTCACTATCACACTATACAGTGGGATAGGGTGATGGTTCTAAATTACAATAACGATAGCTGAAGAGTAACTGATTATTTAATCCTTATTGATAGAGTCAGCGCCGAAAACATGTAAAGTAATGAAACACCATACACTGTAAACATTCAGGAAGTTCCAATACCACTTGAAATAAGCGAATGAAGAGTGTGGAGACTATAAAAAATGAGTTACACAGTTGTTTAATTATTACTAGTTATAGGTAGCGCCCAAACGTCATCCAGTAGATACTACCATATCGCTGTGTTAAAATTAAGTAAATTGATCTTATACGAAAAGCTTTAGGCTGATCAATTGAGGAAATGAAACGAATCTAGCACACCACTTATCAATAAAATGTAAAAAGATACCCGAAGCGGATAAGATCCGGGGAGCATAGGTCGCTACTTTTTATTTTTGAAACTATTTTGTTAGTTTGTTAAATGTCTTTCTCTTGTTTTCGGCTTCTCTAGATTCTTCTTGATATTAACAACGTTGGCAACACTTGTACTGCTCTCAAAGTTGAAATTTCTTTGTTGAACAATCACTTATTTCAAGGGTATTTAGGATAGATTATTTCGTGGACTTGTTAATCACACTACGCAAACCAAGGTATTGGACAAAAAAATAGGAAAACATTTAACGAGTTTAGTGTAAAAACATCTCGCCACGAAACCATAACACTCCACTATTGGTCACGCGATTAATACAAGGAAACAAATGTAAACTTTTAAACTGATATGATAGAAAGGTCAATTGGATGCACACGAAATAATAAATCAAATGAAATACAGTTATACTATAATTTTCCCAAAAACATAAACAACTCACCCTCCTGTAACGACAAGGTATGAAGCTCTGGGAGACCAAACGACTTGTGTCAAACCTGATTGAGAGTGACCTCCGAGTAAAGTAATAGCTGTGGAACCTATAAGAGGATCCACTAAAACTGCACGGGCACATGATTCTTCACTGCCTGGCCCAAGACTAACAGCGATTAGATTATGATTACAAGCGACAGACGACATTGATAACCACGACAAACTTTGCGAGAGACAAACAGATGTGACACACTGAAACGGAAGAAATGAAAATGTGTTGGCAGCTATACCAATGAAGATCCTAAAGAGTATCATTACTGAGATATTCACGAAATTGTGAAAACAGAGGTCTTTAGTGTAACATGAATGAATAAGAATGAACCTGAAATTCCTCATCTTAAGCAATCCTGAGATGGTTTAGTTTGGTGATGCGTCATAGGTATTCAGTTTGGAGAATATAAAATATAATAAAATCTCAAAAAAACCACATGACTCATGATTATGCGACTTATTTATGTCGGATGACTCAGTGATTTGGGATTTCCTCACCTAGCAGCTGTTATCTGGAAAGGCAACAGCTATGCAGCTTTCGTTTGTCATGATCAATAGACCACTTCAGAGAATGTAACCGTTTCCCAAACCAGCCTGATAAAGTGCGCCTCAACCACTTTGGAATAGTCCCTGTAAAGTGGCAATGCCTTGAAACGCTATAAGGACTTAAAACTATATTCTCGACCTTTTTGTCTACCATGATAAACGATACTTAACATTAATGTGGCCTAATAAGTCGATAAACATGTTAAAGTAGAGCGGGAGTTTTGCAAGTTAATGTTGCAAGCAGGAAAGATAAGAAATGAAAAAAAAAATTGGTTACTTATCACCATATTTTTAAAAAGCCCGTTGCTATTCTTAGTGATTGTTGTGTAAATGATGAGAGGTTTTATAGGGTCTATTATATTGTCCGTATAAGTACTAAGTTTTACTGAGAATACCTGTAAAATAATACCAAAGTATAACGTACCTCGAGGCGGTTAGTGTCCCATATCCCAAGCGTTTTATTGACTGAAGCGGAAATAAAAGCCCCACTATCTACTGGATACCATTGCACGCATACTAGAGGGGATTCTTTAACCAATGACTGGGATTCTTCGCGATTTACTTTATTGCGAACACATGCGACTAAGCGATACTGAATCATATCAAGACGCCATACGCTGGGGTTTTCTACGTCAAATATGTGCAAAAAACCATTTTGTGATCCAACAATTAGCCTACGTAAGTGTATGCAGTGGAAATTTTCGAAAGCTTACAAACGGGATTCAACGCTATCCAAAGCCATATCACATAGTTGGGAATTTGATTCGAAGTTGAAAACGATACCATGATCAACATCCACTTCCTGAAGTCTGTCCCATACATAAGTGCCTTTATACTTAGATCCTATTGGGTTTAGCTGGAATCTGCTAAACATGTGTAATATTCAGCTGTAGGTAGGTCTCTGTACAGTTTTCAGGTTTGTTGTTGCAGGAGAAGGCAATCGTCAGCCTTGAGGTGGTATTCCACTTGATTGACACCAAGATCTGCGAAGGATGAGAAAACACACGAGGTGATGATGCAGTATGCAAGAATAAAGCAATTATGATTCACATTAAATGGACATTCACATTGACAAATTAGTAATTTGCAACGAAAAGACAGTCTGAAAAAGCAAAACCCGGAAGTCGATAGACAAATTTTCATGTGAATTAACTTGAGTAATTCAGCTGGGAGAAGTCAGCTGAATATATCTTGTTTTTCTTCGTACTGCGAAATATTTAAGTTCTGTCCTATAACTTACCACCCAACGACCTTGTCATGAAGCCAAGAGTTCGAGATTCCGTCAAGGTCGAAATAGCTGTCTTAAGTCCAACATCTAAAATCCAATATATTTTTACGAGCTAGTTTAAACCAACTGATTTCTGCGCGCTCGCTTGTCGATCTTGCAAAACGCTTCCAGGTGTTTGGTGGATTCGAATATAGTAGGTCCACCCACTCGACTGCTGTAGTTCTGGTTAGCCCGACGGGCGGTTGGGTCTTGGTTACATTTGTAGGGGGTGTTGTTTGTTTGTTTGCCTTTCCTTCCAAAGACTGTGGTGCAGATGGGTTCCTCAGATGTCGTGCCAGCAGAAAATTGGTCGGACTGGTTGTAAAAAGGAGATGAAAAATATGTGCAGAGAAATCAATGGAGAGAAGGTTCAGATAGAGACAAAATAGAAAAAGAAGAAGAAGAGAAAAAAGATTAGGAAAAAGGAAACTGCACGGAAGAAGAAACATTGGTAGGTTCATGGGGAATAGGTGATAGGGAGAGCTTCTGCTCAAGTTTGAGGGCGTAAAGCCAGAAGGAAGAATAATAAATAACACGATAAGACGAATGGGAATATAGTAATTCTTTTAGTATGAGAAAGTAACTGGAGGGGACGTCTACAGGAAGGTATAAGGCTGAGCCAAGTTCTCAGTGATAGTGGTTTTACAAAGTGTTCAGTAACGGTTGGTCGTACCGAGTTAGTCAGTCGTGTCAGCCTAGTCCACATCCCAGTTGGATGAGCGCAAACCGTGCGTCGCTGGGTAGCAATCTTGGTAGGCAACGCATTCCAGTGGCCGCAAACTCTCAGGAGAAAGAAGTGTGATCGTACACGGGTTTTCGCTTTTTGGTGACTGATCCTCCTTGGGTTACCACGAGGATCGCCATAGTGGCTGTTCGGTAGGATTCCACTGTTAGGATGACTTGGGTTACTTAGTATTTTGTAAGCCGTTATCAAGTCCCACGTAATCTACGGTAACTTAGGGAGTAAAGCCTTAGATCTTTCAGTCTGTCCTGATATGGTTTTCGCCTCATTCCCACGACACCCTTTGTAGCTCGCCTTTGGTCTTTCCCCATGAAGTTCACGTCTGTTTTCAGATATGGTGGTGCAGTGACGTTGTGTACCTCTAGGTGGAGGCTTATATAGGTCTTATGCAGCTTCAAAAGGAGTTTCGGGGTCAGGGCACCCAGTTGTCTGCACATGAAGTGCAGTACTGTGTAGGCTGTGCAGACCTCTCCTGGATAATTGGGGCTAGTGTCTAGTTTGTCAGTTGGTATTGGTCCCATGTCTTACTCTGTGGTGTGGGGGAGTTGTGTTCCACACAGAGAAAAAGGCACCTTTTGAGAGTCTGGGGTGCAGAGAAACATGGCTCGGCATTTATCTAGGTTAAATGCAAGTCCATTAATATCCACCCACTCTGCAAGTAATCTTAGGTCACTTTGCGGCACACTTAATTCTGTTTCTGAAGCCACAGCTCTCCATAACTTAACATCACTAACATAGAGTAGAATTGGGGAGCTGTGATTCAGTAGAAGGTCATTTACAAAAAGAAGAAATAGCAGTGGGCCCAGAATTGCCCCTTGTGATAAACCAGATGATGATGTTCTCCAAGTCGAGCAAAAACTCTGTTAGCTTTTGTGCAGAATGGTCTATCGTCTAGTTAGTCCTGCAACCATGAAAGCTCTTGCCCCTTGATGCCCAACCTTTCTATTTTATGGATAAGAACAGTATGTGTGACTGAGTTGAATGTCTTAGTCAAAGCCAGTAAAATGGCATGGACAGGAATTCGGAAGTCCGAGCATACCGTCTACGTATAACCTGCCACCAGAATGTTTGTGGAACCTGACCTACCCTTTCTGAAACCATGTTCAGCATCACTAAGTACTCCCCTCTTTTCTAAGTACTCCCTGACATGGTCGTTTACCAGGCTCTCCATTACTTTTGATGCCACTGGTAGAAACGCTATGGTGTCGGTAGCATTTTGGGTCCTGCCTGTCTCCACCTTTGAAGGTGGGGGACAGAATAGCACTTTTCCACTCTTGTGGAAGCATGTGATTGTCTAAGGAGTGTTGAAACAGATTACACGGCAGACCGCACAAGGCACCCGTGCATCGTTTCAACACAGCCGGTCGGATGTCATCAAACCCTGGTGATTTCCCTTAGAGGAGCTTTGACAGTTTTTCGAGGACCATAGTAGGAGTTACCTTTATTCCAGGCAACTCTACTGCATTTGGTGGTGCTGAATGTTGGTCGGACAGTTGGTAATTTTGGTTTGATACGGACTTATTGAGTTGCTTATCGAAGGTGGCGCCAAAGGCTCCGGCGATCTCTAGTCTGGAGAGGTTCTCTCCCTCCAGGTCTTTCAGGATGCAAGCCCCCTGGCTGGTGGATTTTCTGCCTGCCACAAACCGATGTGGGTTTTCGGGGTTTGCCCCAAGCTTTTGAGCAGGGTTCGTCCGGAATGACCTCCTGTCTCCCCTCACTCTAATGTTACATCGACTTCCTAGGGTAATATACACGGTGCGGTAGGGCTCTTTTCTGCGGGTCCTCCACTTGTGCCATACTTTCCTCTTGGCTTTCAAAAGGCCTTCGGCGCCTCTTTTTAGCCATGAGGTTCGCTTCCGCGGTATTGCTGTGATTACCGGCCCTTTTACAGAGCAAGTGCTCCTGATAATATCTCTGACTAGTTCCCAATGTTGGTCAGTCGACAGGTTGCTCCACTCCTGAGGCCATGGTGCTGTCGACAGGTATTGGTTGATCACCACACAGTTCGCCTTGCTGTAGCAAAGACAAGGGCGCGATCCCTCCAATAACATTTGCTAGCTGAGTACCAGATGGAACACCACTACGCTGTGATTGCTGCTGCTGAGGGGGGTTTGAACCAGTACATTTTCCATCAGCAGGTGGTCACTGGTAAAAAGATAGTCCAGTTTGGACGGCTTTCTGCCCAACCCCCGGCGAGTGTCAACACCAGTATTCTGGTGCAGCCCAGCCTTTTTGACAGTGTTGAGTAGGTTTCGGCCAAACCTTCGGCTTAAGGTTCCCTTGTCCTGCCCAAGATTGAGAGTCGGAGCATTAAAGTCGCCGGCTACAATGACCTGGCCATATCCGATGGATGACGCTCCGGACATTACTTGCAGCAGTTGTCGCCGCTCCGCCCCCTTCCCTCAACTATCTGTCTCGCCTGAACAGACGTATGCCGTCTATACTAGTTTGGATGTCATTATATCCGGTGCCAACCAAGTTTTTGTCAGGATTATGATCGTTGGAGCAAGGTAGGAACGGAGAAATCGTAATTCCCCCATCTCACTTCTAAGTCCCCTCACATTTCAGCGAAGACACTTGGATATTTCTCTAATGACATGGGGTATCTTGGTGCTGGCAGACTGGAGGGAGTCGTGCCCAGTGGCAAAACCTGCTATAGGACGGCCAGCATCAGTGAAACCGGCCCAATCACGTTTTTTCCCACAATGGTTCCCGGGGGTTTCATAGAGTCCAGGCTTAATTGTGCATCTTGTCTGTTGATAATGGTGGTGACTCCGGCAGTGGGTGGAGCCGTCATTTGCTATTGCCACGGTGTCCTGGGCCTGCTTTCACAGCAGCGAACATTCCCACTGGTGTTAACACATACTGTGTACCAAGTTTGCAATACTCTGGTTAAAAATTCTTGGCAGACGAAGTTGACAGCCATCAACCAGAGTGATGTTATTGCCGTCAAATGTGATGTAAGTGGTGGTCTGCATACCGCCGCCGCCGCCGCCATTCCGTTTAACTCGATCTTCGCCGATAACCAATGTCATTGCTGGACGTCGTGAGCATACGTTTCTAAGACTGTGCTGGCTGTTAGTTCCGGTATGCCGTGGACGGCGCCGCCGTGGACAACCATAATTGTTGGTTTCAGCGTTTGGGGAGCCTCGCGAGATACTTTTCTTGCTGGCCAAGGACGGTCTGGTCTGGCTCTAATGCCGGATGACCTGCTGATGACCATTGTGTATGACATCAACAAGAATCCTTTCGCTTCCGCAACCGAGCTCAGTGTCACCCTCATCTGCGGAGGCTTTCCCTGAGGTGCGTAGTTGCTTTTGTAGAGCCTGCACGGTTTTGTTTCTAGGCCACCCAGTCCTTGTGTGGTGCATACGGTTTCTAATTGCTGCTGGTCAAACGATTCTCTGTTCTCAAGTAGACTATTATGGCACACAGGGACGTTAAATAAGATGATGGAATTCCACCTATCATCAGCTTCTCTGTTTTCGTGTATTGTGGGTGGTTTTCTTGGGAAGGGTGCACCTTCTTTTCCACTTTCACCCGCTTTTCCCGTTGTACAGTGGGGTTAGCCTCTAAAGTGGCTTCAGGTCTAGGGATCAATGCAGTTGGTCGCATACCCGGCCATCGTTCTGGTCTTTTTGGACTATTCACCGGCGTGACTGGCCGGGGTACAGTGCTGACGCTCTTGCTGCTTGGGCCTGGGGTAATGGTCTGTGTAGGTGCCGGCATCACAGTAGTCACTGTGATGTCCTTTACGACCTCCCTTGGCAAGCCTGGGGAAAAGCGTGGCCTTATAAGGCACTGCGGGCAGATGTACCAGAACCACGTGCATGGGCAGCGCGCCGTGAAGGTGTAATATTGGTCTCGTATGTCCTCATCACACTGACTGTGCACCCACGTATTGCAGATTTTACACTCGAAAGCAGCATCCCTCTTGGCTACGGTGAAAAGACACGTGTAACAGTGGTCGGTCTGGCTAGGTTTAGTTAACGACTTTCCTTCCCTTCTCTCCCTTCTCTCAGTGGTAGCCTTCACAGGTAGACAACGGTTTGGGCTGGTAGTACCAGAAAGACATGCTCTTCGATGAACTACGGCACAAGGGTTCAGAGGGACAGGGACCCGACTTTTTCCAGGAAGTGGTTGTTGCGACTGCCCTCCTGAGGTCAACCCACGCTCTTTTGCCTTGGCACTAAGCCTCTTGCCTCCAGCCCTAGTTACTACCACTAATGGGGAGTTTTGTAGCTGAGGTGAGGCTTTACCTCTCTTTTAGATTTC